CAACAATGTATATGCACTTAATGCCACTGAACTATTGCACTTAAAAATGGTGAAAATGATAAATTTTATGTTCTGTATATTTTAGCTATAATAATAAAAGGAAAAAGGAAAAAAACAGCAAAAAAATCTTTTTCAGACATATAAAACAAAAATAATTCCCTACCACCAGACTGGAATAACACTACATCTTAAAGGATAACAGAGGAATAAAGGCCACCAAAACTTTGAGCTATAAAATAACTTCCAATAGTTAAAAGGACTTAAATCATATATTTTTCATTAAGAAATGGTATCTATGGTTAAATATAATTATTTTCCTAATGTTAAATCTCTTTGAAACTGATTTCTTAAAAGCATAAAAATAAGAACATAGCATTATGGGGTTTTAAGACATACCTAGAAGGAAAATGCATGACACCAAAGCACAAAGGAGAGAAGCAGAATGAAAAACTGTTGCAAGGTCTTAAACAGACTATTTCAAGAGTCTACCTTCATGTGGTAAGTTAAAGATATTTATCAGGAAGACTAAATGCAAGCAGAAACAAACAAGGTGAGGGGATCTTAATGATAAAGGGATTAGTTCATCACGAGAATATAACAAGTCTAGGGATGTTATCTAATAAAATCATATATATCTATATAACAAGAAATGATAAAAATCAAAGAGAAACACCCCAATCCAAAATTTCAGTTGCCAATGTCATCCTACTTTCCTCAATAATTAATAGAACAAGTAGAAGCAATAAATATATAGAAGAACTGAACAACATTCAACCAACTGACCTAAAGAGAGTTAAGAAACAATACACAAAATTACATCAAAATATGCATTATTTTCAAATGCATACAAAACACTTACCAAGATAGACCATATTCTTTGGTACAGAACAATTCTTAGTAAATTGACAGAATAAAATCATATAAAGTATTATTCACAATAGCCAAGATATGGAATCAGTGTTAAGTGTCCACAAATGGATGAATGAATAAAAAAAAATAGGGGGACTAGAGAATATCATGCTAAGTGAAATAAGCCGATCCCAAAAAACCAAAAGCTGAATGTTTTCTCTGGTAAGTGGATGCAGGGGGATAGGGAAGAATGAAGGAACTCTGGTTTGTGCAGAGGGGAGCGAGGAGAGGGGTTGGTTTGCAGGTATGGGAAGGTCGGAGAAATAGACAGACATTATTACCCTATATGCATGTATGATTATACTACTGAAGTGACTCCACACCATGTACAGTCAGAGGAATGAGCAGTTGTGCTTCATTTGTGTACAATATGTCAAAATACATTATACTGTAAAAAATAAAGAAAGAAATAGGGTGTGTGGGTGTGTGGGTGTATGGGTGTGCGCACGCGCACATACTATATCTCCACATATGCAATACGTGTTGAATACTATTCATCCTTAAAAAAAAAAAAGAAATATTTTTTCTTCTCTCTTAAAAGAAGGAAATCTTGCCAGGCGCAGTGGCACATGCCTATAATCCCAGCAACTCTGTAGGCTGAGGCACAGGAAGATCAAAGTCAGCCTCAATAGATTAGCGAGGCACTTAGCAGCTCATCAAGACCCTATCTCTAAATAAAATGGTGGAGGCGGGCAGGCTGGGGATTGGCTCAGTGGTTAAGTGCACCAAAAATAAATAAATAAATAAGGAGGAGGAGGAGGAGGAGGAGGAAATCTTGAGCTCTGCAACAGGATACAATGGATAAACCTTAAAGGATATTATGATAAGCAAAATAGGCAAGGCACAGAAAGACAAATACTGAATAAGTTTACTTTTTGAGATATGAAATTTTAAAATGTCAAGCTCGCAGAAGTAGAACGAGGGGTAAAGAAAAACAGAAACTTAATCAAAAGGTATAAAGCTTCAGTTATGCAGAACAAATAAATTTTGGAGATCTAATCTACACCATATAGTCAAAAATATGGTATTGTTGAGGTGCAGTGGCACACGCCTTATAATGCCAGCAGCTGGGGAGGCTAGGCAGGAGGATCTTGAGTTCAAAGCCAGCCTACCCCAGCCTCAGCAACAGTGAGGTGGCACTAAGCAACTCAGTGAGACCCTGTATCTAAATAAAATACAAAATAAGGCTGAGGATGTGACTCTGTGGTTGAGTGCCCTTTAGTTCAATCCCCTGTACCAAAAAAATTACAGTATTGTTTGCCTGAAATTTGCTAGGTCAGGGCAGTAGATCTTAAACACTCTCACCATACCAAAAAATGGAAAACTATGTGAGGTGATGAATATGTTAATTAACTTGATAGTGGTAATAATTGTGCAATATATATGTATATCAAATATGTATGTATATCAAAACATGATATTGCACACCCTACTATACCTTAATAAAGTTGGCAAAAAAAACTAATTATCTACTAAAGAAATGTTAAAAAAATACAAAGCATAATTTTCTGATCACATGGATTTAAATTAGAAACCAACAGCAGAAATATCCTTGCAAAATCCCTATATATCTGGAAACTAAATAACACCTTTCCAAATAGCCCCTGTGACAGAAAGAAATCAAAAAGCAGAATTAATCCCAAGGTAAACAAATGAAATAAAAAATATCAGAATGAAGGGGCTGGGGATAAAGCTCAGTTGGTGGAGTGCTTGCCTTGCATGCAGAAGGCCCTGAGTTCAATCCCCACGCCACCAAAAAAAAAAAAAACAATGAAAATCAATGCTATAGCAAAAACAATACAGAAAATTAATAAAACCAAAGCTGTTTTTTAGAACAAAAAAATTAGTAAACCATTCATATTAACAAGTTAAAAAAAGACATTGATTACTAATATCAAGAATGAGTAATAGTACATCACTACTGATTCTACAGATATTAAAAGGATAGAAGATTGTTATAAATAGCTTTAGAGATCCAACAAATTAAGTAAAATGGCTAAATTCCTGGAAAGATGGAAAGCTTACTCAAGAAGAAGCAGATAGCTAGAAAATATATGTACTAAAAATACATTTTCTGAATCTACTAAAGAAATTAAATATGTAATAGTTTAAAAACCTTCCCACTAAGAAAACTATAGGTCCACATGGAATACTGCCCAACACAGCCTGTAAAACCAGCATTATGCTAATACCAAACCATCACAAAATAAACAAAACCAGAACAAATAACCCTCAAGAGCACAGAAGCAAAACTCCTAACAAATTTCTAACAAATTAAATAAAGCCTAACAATCTGTGAAATTGGTAATACATTATAGTCAAACAGGCTTTACCCCAGAAAAGAAACAACAGTTTAACGTTAAAATTAACAAAATGAAAAACAAAAACAATGTGATTCACCATATTAACAGACCTTTTAGAAGTATGGTCATTTCAACAGATGCCCAAAAAGCATTTGACAAAATCTATTATCTATTATGATAAGAATATTATCTGTTCCTAATAAGAGAAACCTATGACTCTATGGTATAACCACAAAACAATTTAGCAGTTTCTTATAAACAGATACCTACTACATGAACTCTATTCAGAAATATTTATTCAAAAGGAAAAAAAAAAAAAAACTTGACCAGACAGAGCTCTATATACAAATGTTTACAGAAGTTTTATTTGTAAAAACCAAAATATGAAAATAAACCAGATTTCAAATAACATGTGAATATGGAAAATGTGCAACAGAAACCACTGAGCAATAAAAAGAAGCAAAATCTTTTTATACACTACATGGATGAATTTCAAAGTAACCATGTATGTGAAAAAACCCTTTGCAAAAAAGGGGGGTGGTGGTTCATATTATATGGTTCTGTTTATATAAAATTCTACAAAATGCAAACTAATCTATATTGACAGAAAGTCTGAGGACAGGGTAAAGGGAGGGATGGAGGGAAGAATTACAAAAGAACACCTGTTTATTATCTTGACTGTGTTGATGGTCTCATGGACATCTGTGTATGTCAAAATAGATCAAAAACTGTAAATTTTAATTGTGCACAATTTATTTTACCTCTAGCTATTTGAAGAGTGGTAACAGTTGCACATCAATGTAAATGTACTTGTTGCCACTGAAGTGCACATTTAAAAATGAGTTAAATACCAAGCATGGTGGCCCATGCCTATAATTCCAGCTACTCGGGAGGCTGAGGCAGGAGGATCACAAGTTCAGCCTGGAAAACTCAGCAAGACCCTGTCTCAAAATAAAAAGGGTTGGGGATGTAGTTCAGTGGCACTTGCCAATCATGTGCAAGGTCCTGGGTTCAATCCTCAGTACCAGAAAAACAAAACAAAAAAGATTTAATTGGTCATTTTTATGTTTATTTTAGTACAATTTTTTAAAGGCCTCATAAAAACAGAAGGTTACTGAATTTAAAACTGACGCTAAAAGCGATAATGCCTATAGTCAGTAATAAGACAAAGAATTCATATTTCCAGTCTGTCTACCATCTTCACCACGTTTTGTCTGTAATGAACTATAATTTACAACAGTAGTTCCATAGTAGAACTGAAAAGACTCCTATCACCTAGTGATGTCTTAACATCCTAACATAATGCATAAATCATGTGTTCTATGGTGATGTTAAACATATTTATTGTGCTGCCAGTCATCTAAGAGGACAGCACATATATTTATGTACATGTTATACTTGATGGTGATATGTAACAACTATGTTACTAGTTTGTGTATTTACTATACTCTTTATCAGTATGTTATAGTGTATTACTTTAGTTTATTTAAAAAAAAAAAAAGTTAATGCATAACAGTATGCCATACCCAGCAACAGCCTCATACAACTTGTGTTTGCTGCTCTTGATGGCATCAAGAAGCTACATCAACTGATTGATTCAGACCACCTAGGTGTGTATAGGTATACTCTATAATGTTCATAGAGTAAATCACCTACTGACAGATTTCTTGTAATACATAACTGTCATTAAGCAATGTACAATGGTACTTCTTAGATTTAAGCTGTCATTTTAAATGTAAATGTAATTTACATTTAAATGTAAATATAAACGTGTTTACAAACTGTTACCTGTGAGATATGATTGATGGAAGACTCCATTCTCCGAAGCTGAGAGGCCTGGATATCCAATAATTGGAGAACATTGTTGGCCAATGCATTTATTTGATAAGCAACACTAGCTAGAGATTGAGTTGTATATGCTTTGGTTTCTTCTAAAGCTTTTCTCTTGTCTGTAGCCTGAAACAAGAACAAAAACAATCAATATTTACTTAGATTAACATTCATCATGCATTCATTCTATAGAAAGACAAATTATAATTTTAATTTAAAAAAGCATAATTCAATCAAAAAATTATTGCACCATTATTATTATAGTCTTAGGATACTGAATTAAGCTGAAGACAGAAAACTAATTTTTTTAAATCTGACCTTGTAATCTAAATTCACTTACTAGCTTTGGTCACTTTTTTTGTGATTCCTGAGGATATTCTATACGATCATGCTGTCTTTAAATAAAAACAATTTTATTTATTATTCTCAATCTGTATATCTTCAGTTTCTTTTTCTTGCTCTACTACACTGACTGGGGACTTTAATATAATATTGAATAAAAGTAGCTGCTCCCAACATCAGAGGAAACACATTGTCTTTTACAATTAAAACACAGAACAAAGGTTTTCCATAGATGCTCTTTTTGAGAATATGGAAGTAAATCTTGGTTATTTTCACTGTTAGACTTTCATCTGCCTATTTTTTACTTTTCAGTGTACAGGTTATACACATCGTTTTCTCTCAGAGTGGAAAACAATGCCTGCTTTAAACTAAAGTCTGTTGTTCCTTTCCTCTCAGGCATAAAGTTACATTTTATTTCTCCACTTCCTTTACTATATGATCATATAAATAAGTAGCACTAATGATGCTATTTATGTCAGAGGAAATAATGCCACTTCAAGGCCTGATCATAAAAACCTCCCATGCATGTTCCACAGCAATAAAGTAAAATATGTTTGTATCAAAACAATAAAGTTGTGTTTAGCAGAAACCAAGACTTTATAATGCCTCCATTTTTAAATTTGAAGTAATTAAAATTAGACAGAATTTTAAATTTTATTTTCTCAGTCTTGCCATACTTTAACTGCTAAATAGCCACGTGTAGACTGAAATTACCTTATTGGGAGATACAGTTCTAGTCACAGTTAATTTCCTCTAAGAACTATGATTTGAAAGTTAAATCTACACACAAATTACCATTGCCACTTATTTTGATTTTGTAAGTTTAGTATCCAAGAGCTGGTCTTCCTCCCCTAGATATTTTTACTACATAAATACCAAACGTTAGTATCTTCCAAAGGTCACAAAAAACTGATTATAAAATAGAAGACAAGGGCTGGGGATATAGCTCAGTTGGTAGAGTGCTTGCCTCGCATGTTCAAGGCACTGGGTTCAATCCCCAGCACCAGCCACATCAATGTTCATAGCAGTACAATTCACAACAGCTTAACTGTGTGGAACCAATCTAGATGCCCTTCAATAAACAAATGGATAAGAAAAATGGGACATATATACACAATGGAATATTACTCAGCAATAAAAGAGAATAAAATCATGGCATTTGCAGATAAATGGATGGAGTTAGGAAAGATAATGTTAAGTAAAGTTAGCCAATCCCAAAAAAACAAATGCTGGATGTTTTCTTTGATATAAGGAAGCTGATTCATAGTGGGATAGGAAGAAGGAGCATGGGAGGAATAGATGAACTGTAGATAGGGCAGAGGGGTTGGAGGGAGAGGGTAAGTTTAGGGTAATTAATGATGGTGGAATGTGATGATCATTATTATCCAAAGTACAGGTATGAAGACACTAATTGGCAATTGGCGTGAATATACTGCGTATATACAACCAGAGATATGAAAAATTGTGCTCTATATATGTAATATGAATTGTAATGCATTCTGCTATCATATAAAAATAAATAAATAATAATAAATTCATCTTTAAAAGAAAAGCCAGTTGTTTTAAATAGCTAACCTTAAAAAAATAAACAACGTAACCAAAGCTAAACCTGAAATTCCTTAGATAATTAACTTCATGAACATCTCATCTCAGACACATAACTTATTCTCTTCTTTCTCCTCTGTGAGAATTAAGTTACTAAGTGAGAATCTGAGCTGGAGTAGAGCATCTTCTAAAGTAAAATTTACTTTTCTAAGTCATTTTCTCACCGCAGAAGGTAACACAGGCAAAGTAATCTCTTCTTTTTCACTACCTGAAATAGAAATTACTAGCTATAATCAATCTCTCTCTCACCTACACATTTAATTGCCTTTCCTCTCACTTTCTCATCCTTCACCTATTACTAAAGGAAAAATCTTTAAAAATCTTCCTCCTTCTCTTTATTATATGTAAATGCCTGATCCCCCAAAGAAAAAGAGAACATCCTTGTCATGACTGTCCCTAAAAAGTCAATTTAGGGAGAGGGATGAGGCTCAGTGTTGGTGTGCTTGCCTGACGTGCATGAGACCCCGGGTTTGATCTCCAGCACAGAAAAAAAAAAGGGGGGGGGGGCAACAAAATTTAAATGAAAACAAATGCTATATACTTTTCAATTTTTTCTTGTATCTGATTTTGAATGCATTAATTGTTGATACAATAGAAATAAGAGGGGAAAAAACAAAGGAAAATGGAAATATTTATCATGGTCCTATCACTCAAATATATCAGCTAAAATTTTCTTCAAGTTCATTCCAGTACATGTATGTATGCATGAATATAAAAAAAAACATAATTATATATCTTGCTTTTTTTCATTTAACAATATACCATAAACCTTTGCCCACGTAATATTCTTCCCTAGCATCTTTTTCAAAAAATAATTTTCAATGACATCATGATTTATGGTGGTGACCAGCAAGTGCCTACCCTCATTTTAGTTCCTTTTTTAATCAAATTTCTCATTTGATGATTTTGGGGAGTGGTGGCAGGGGTTGGGGTGGGGGACGTTGCTAGTCATTGAACTCAGGAGCACTTGAACACTGAGCCATATCCCCAGCCCTACTGTGTATTTTATTTAGAGAAATGGTCTCAGTGAATTGCTTAGCACTTCACTTTTGCTGAGATTGGCTTTGAACTCTCAATCCTCCTGCCTCAGCCTTCCGAACCAGTGGGATTACAGGTGTACACCCACTAGCTCTCATTTGATTTTAACTAAATAATCAATGATTTGAGCACAGTTAAAAATAAGTTCAAGTACAACTTCCTCTAAATTACCAAACAAGAGATAGCAATATTTCAAGATGTAGGACTTGAGAAGGAAATATATACAGTTAATTATAAACATCTCCTAGTATAAATGATAACCCTATATGCTGTCCTTTAACTTCAGTAAACATCCTAGTTTTATGAATTCACATTTTACAATGTTTGCAAAGGTTTATATCTAAAAGCCATTAAAATTTTAGTTTTTTATTTTTTAATGAACCCAGAATCCCTTTTAAACTCCACTTTAATACAGATATTTTTATATTACAGAAAATACCAATAGTCATTTTGTTCTAGCTCTTATCTTAAATCTTACTTTTTGAAATATTAGAACTGTCAATTTATTAAAAGTACTTTCTGATTTATAAGTTTAACAAAACTAACCATTTTCTTTCAACTTGTTACCATTGTTTTTTAGCTGCATAATTTAAGTTTCAAACATAACCTACTAGGTAACTTTAAGAAATATCATTTTTAAGTTAGAGTCCTATTGTACTAAAAGATGTCATATGTAAAAAAAACAAAATCTTTATGACACATACACTATAGTATTGGCCTGCATAATAACATTTTGGAGTAACAGTATAACTTAAAATCTTCTCTTTCTTTCTTACTTTGAATCCTTCCTTAAACCCTTACCAAGGGTACCAGAATATATTTTGCTTTCTTTGGAAACAATAATTTCTGTCCTAACCACAAGCTATCTAATGATGCTGCTTAGGTAATAAAACAGGGGCCCAGTATACATTTAAAATTTAAAAGAAAAAAAAAAGTTTTTTCCATCTTGTTTCCATGTCTTTAACTTCCTATTTTTTCTAAAAATGTCATGTCTGTCATATCTTTTATCATCTCAATTCCAAACCTAAACTCAAGTTTCTCCAAATTCCAAAAGACTATATCTGTTTTATTTAATTCTGCATGATCCAAGAGCCAAAGATTGTTCACTGCTATTAATGATCTGCCTATTTCATTTCCTTAAATATAGAATATCCTCAAACCAATCTGTCCCACCCCTCCTTTCAAAACACAGACATTATTTTAGAAATATAGTCAGGTGTCTTACAGGATTTATCTGATGTTTCCTAATGGTTAGGTTCAGATTAAACATAGTGGCCAGAATACTATAATACTATGAACTCCCACTACAGGTGATACAGCTTTTAAAATGACAATTTTTTTTTAAACATTTATTTTTTAGTTATAGGTGGACACAATACCTTTATTTTGTTTTTATGTGGTGCTAAGGATTGAACCCAGTGCCTCACTCATCCTAGGTGAGCACTTTACCTCTGAGCCACAACCCCAGCCCGACACTTATTTTTATTATTCTCTGCCAAGCTGCCAACACCAATTCTGCACATTCTGATGCTTGTACTTTCTTGAATTTGCCAGAAGATATAAAACAAAAACAAAAATAAAAATCTAAGACAAAAACTAGAACTCTATTTTTCTTCAAATGGTCTTTAAATGTTTATTGATAGAGGTTCCAAAAATCCAGCTGAGCCACCAATTAAACAAGCAAATTTGCACAAACACAAAGCATGGTAACTATGTCATAACCGCTGCCTCACAAAAAGCTTATTTATGGCTATCATTAATTATAAAATACATCCCAATTTCAGAGATATTAAATAAGGTAAAGAGAAGGAAATTCTTAGAATTGATGAAATACAGTATATAAGAAACACACTTCTTGGCCTAACAGACTTTTTAAAAAAGTATATTAATACAAATGAGAAGAATTAAAATTTCAAGTATTAGTATCTGCAAGAGGAAGATTTTTAAACACTATAAATTACAGAAAAACATCTACTTTGCTAAAGACCAATATAAGGCCTTGGTTGGTTTCAGACCTGAAAAACCTCCCAGGAAAAATTCATGGTCAATTTTGTGGGGAAGGATCAGAAGAACATACAGGCCACGTGCTGGAACACTACTGACAACAAACCTATTAAGCACAAATCATAGGGGTTTCAGTA